ATATATTCTTATCAACAAGAAATCAAATTTTATTGACCATAAGGACCTCATATATTTTTATACACAAAAAGTATCTTTTCACCAATTTTCTAAACACAGAAAAGCAAATGAGAGTGACAAAACAATGAATGAAATATAAATGCGAACATGTACTATTTAATTTGAAGCTCAAAACATATCACATAAAATCACGATTTATTAGTCATAATTGTCGATTTTTTTTTAAGATAATGAAACTCATCCCTTGCACGAAGTTTAATGTGACATTCGTTGCTATCCACAAACTTGAGTTACATTGGATTCATGTTTTTCTTCGTCCCCCCCCCCCAATCGCTTATTTTTGTTTTATCAGTTTTCTCTGTGTTTCAATCACTTTTCGAACTTCATACCTTAAAGTTTGCTAAAAAAATGTTTCTTTTTTTTAAAACAATTTTATTCCAACCAAGTAAAAATATTACATATAAATACATATAAAAGGTAAGTTCATCACACGTGGTTAATTTGAGCAGAGCCCAAATAAATCAGAAGAGAAGGCAGGCCTAACACTAAAGCAAGAAAGTCATAGAAATAGAAAACCAGCCAAAGCTTGGATCCCTAATGTCGAACCAACTACAATGCCACCAAACCCGATACTGATTGAAGTTGCAAAGCTTAGGACTAGATACTACTCGGCAACAATGATCAAATAAAGGACATGGGACGACATCGCGCCACCACGGATCACCAACTAAGCTAAGGTTCCATTTATCATGTACATTATATATAATCCGCATGATAAATAATAACTCGGTAAAAATTTTTAAAATTAAGGGACCAAATTAAAACTGTGCATAATAAATAATAACTTGGCAGAAACTTTTAAAATTAACGGACTAAATTGAAACTATACGGATTATACCTACATATGATAATAAAAACTCTAATGAACCATACTTTTCATAAGTCTTGTTAATGTGGTTTATTTGATTTTTTAAAAAAATTCCATGCAATACATGTAACCCTAGCTTGTTAATAATGATATAAATAGTCATCTTACTGTCAAGATCATTTTAAAGTTATTAAATCCCTGTATAATATTCAGAAATAAATAATTTTAAGCAGACAAAATAAAAATAACTTTGGAAATATGTAATTCAGATGAGAATAATAACAAATGATTATATTGACGACGTGAGTTAATAACAAAGTACTACGGCCGATCTTTAATATAAGAGTTTACTTAATTTTTAATTTGGTCCTAAATATAAGAACCCAATCTACTTTATCTTTCATATTTATTTATTTACAAGGTAGTCCTTGTAATAATAGTAATTCTAGCTAATACACTTAGTTAGTAAGGATATTTTAGAAAAGACAACACCTATTTATTATAAATAATTAATTTAACTAGTTTTTTTAATCTACTTAAATTAGTCAATTAGGTAAACTTAGGAGGTAGTGTGTGTATATAGAGTTGTTATCAAACGAAACCTAGTTTGTTTTTCTCAGCGAACAAACGAGTAAACTTGAATCCACGTTTTTTAATTTACTACACGCCTGGGCGTGGGTCTTAAGGACTGTTTTATGTATGTAGACTTGATTTCTAATACTATTTCTGATCTTTACTATAGAAACTGGTTTGATTTTTATTTTAATTTGGTCCTAAATATAAGATTTTAATCTATTTTGTCTCTTATATTTATATTTTTTGCAGAATAATCTTTTTAATAACGGTAGTTGTAGTCAATACACTTGATTAGTGAGAATATTTTAAGAAAGATAACACATATTTATTACAAATAACTAACTTAACTAATTTTTCTTAGAAAAATTAGTATATATATATAATCTTATCTAAGAAAAATTAGTAGATATATATAATCTTATCTAAATTTGTATTGTGCATACAACACTACTTTTCTTAATTTTGGTCATTATTATCAACTCGATCGTGGTGAACTTCTTTTTGCGAAAAATTAATATGCATTTACAGATCATTGGTTTTTAAATCCCAAACTTAAAATCATTCTCTTATAAAATAAAACACGTTAACAATGGCATGACCTTTGTGTCGTTGCCTTCTCTGTAGGGAAAAAAGTGCCAACTGCCAACCAATTGATTTGGTTGAATTCAAATCACAAAAAGAGGATGATATTTTTGCGCCATAAATGAATGAATCAAGTAAGACACAAGGGATGCGACATGTCCTCATTACCGACTCATAAATAATATTTAGGTCAAAATTTTTTATCAATTCTATTTTAAAAATAAGATTAATACTATCTTTAGTTTCTGAAATTCAATATTGCGTTTTGATTTTGATCCCTTAAAATTTGATTTTATTTGGGTCTGTCTTCTTTCAGAATTCAGAGACCAGAGCTAATTATTTGAAATTTCAAAAACAAAAATTAAAATGAGATCAATTTTCAGAAACTAAAAATAATACCAACTCTTTAGATCTCATTCGTGGCACAATCTGTGCTATAAACTACATCTTATATTTAATGATTAAAATTTAATATGCAGAGATAAAAGATGTAAAATACATTTGGAGTGACTCCTTTCATAAATTATACAAAGATTTACTATTGTGATGTGTAATATTAATATCAATATATAAGATCAAAGTGGTCATCATAAATTAGAATTTGTGTATAGAATTAGTACAAAATTTGACAGAAATGATATACTACCTCCGTTCCTAATTATAAGAGCCAATTGACTAATTTAAGGAGATTAAGGAAGCAAGTTGAATTAGTTATCTGTCATAAATAAGTGTTGTCTTTCCTAAAATATTCTTACTAATAAAGTGTATTGACTGGAACTATTATTATTAGAAGGGTTACTTTGAAAAAAAATGTATAAATATGAGAGACAAAGTGGATTGGGGTCTTATATTTAAGACTAAAATAAAAATCAAACAGGATCTTATATTAAGAACCGGAGGTAGTAATTTAAAAGCTATATGTGAATAATTGGCGTGACACTGACACATCCAACATTGGATTCAAATAACCTCCAATGTAGTTATATATTTATTACACATATATATATGTATGGATGCAAATTAAATCTTAAAAATGTTATGAGAATGAATATGACAGAGCTAAGCAAAAAAGCGTGATGGGAAGGAAATCGGGTGGAGTCAGAATGTGATGATCTCACGATATACCGAACCCAATCCCATCCGCATTCCATATTCAATTATTCATCATCCGCCAGTGCCGGCTCGCCCTTTTTTTTCAAGTAATTTTTATAAAAACGTGTCATTATTAAAATGTATGACACACGAATTATTTGAAATTTTGATATTCAAGTGATTTTTTTTTTAGGATTTTCTCTTTCTTTCATGACTTTATCCTCCTTGTCCATGATTAAAATTTTGAGAAAATTAATTTGTCAATTCATATAATTTCAGGCCCGCCCTTATAATTTTACTTTACCTAATTCTAATTAGGTCAGTGCAGTTTTTTTTTTTAATTAGGTCCTCAAATGAGATCCTTGAAGTTTCATTAACCAATAAAAAAATAAAAGAAACCATGAAGACTTGATTAAAAATCAGATAAAACTCGATTAACTTGATAAGAAAAATACATGGATGTGATTAAAATCAAGCATGACTTGATAAAAAATCTACACAAATCCGACTTAAAATCAAGCAAAAACTATATGAATATGCAGACTAATTTTTCCTAAAATTTTAAAAAAAATTTAAATTTAGTTTTTTTTTTGTGAAACTCTATAAATAAATTAAATTGTTAAAATTTAATTTGAACCGTGTGTTTTCAGATAAAATACTAACAGCTGAAATAAGTCTATATATATTTTCATGGAAAAACAGAGTAATAATTTTAAATTATAGTTATGTTTAATCAAAGGACAATAATGAAAGAAAAGGACAGGACAACGAGAGTTAGAATAAAATGGGCTCATTTTCAAAACATGACCCCACCTCATCCGCCTTCTTAATTTAATCATTGTTTTCTTCACCAAAATTTCCTTTTTTTTTTCATTTGTCAGTTCTCCATCTACAGATCACTTTGAGCAACTCCCAATTAAGACATATGCCAAACTGACTCATTAATCATGTATGGATTCATCTATATTCTGATTTTCACACATACACTGACGGTAGTAATTAATGAGAAATTTAGTGCAGATAATAAGTTTTTTTCCTCAAAAATACTCATGTTTATGAGAAGATAAAGTACGAGAAAGAGAATATTAAAAAAAAGGAAACTAATAAAAAAATTAGAATATCTTATAAATGTTTTTTTATAAATAGAGATAAAGATAGAAGTGATAGTTGTTTTTTTTTTTAATAAAAAAAAGCTTTAGAGTGATCATGATGACGATGTCTTGCATGGATTGCAACTCAGAAACTACACCCTCAATCTAGGCTGCATAGTGGAGAGATTTTCATACATTCACGTCTTCTTCTTCCCTTCCCTTTCCAAATCAATGTAGGCTGCCTACTGGACATTTTCATACTCTCACGTCCTCTATTCGTTGCAGTTAGATAAGTACAAGTAACTACAACGCTCCCATACCGTCTGTTTACACTTTTCTATATACTTAATAATGTCCAGTCAATTCAACTTTAAAAAAAAAAAAAAAAGAAGACAAAAGACAAGTTATTTATATATAAGCAATTTTATCTAGAAAGATTATGATTATTAGATTTAAGCTTTTGGTTGTGATAAATGGGTTGAGATTATTTAATAATAACATATTTGATAGACATCTAAGAGCACACGGTTGATGGTTAAGTGTTGAAGCAATAAGTTCGCGACACCTAACACTTTGATGAACTGCTACTTCTTGTCGCTTACTTTCTGCCATTAATGCCTCCACACTCAGGGTGTGTCTGGATAGAAACCAAACCATGGTTTCAGAAGTGCTTTTACGAATTACGAAGTAAATATGTGGAGGAGATTATCTCGTTTTGCAGAAAAATGCTTTTGAAACCACGGTTTTAGGATACCCAAACAGGCCCTCAAACTCACAGGTCCTTAATTGCGATTTGCTTCTCCACTCCGATATTTTTCCATCTCCCGGGTCCATCCCTCTCTATTTAAGATGCTACCCATATTCCATCTTCTTCACATTTCTGGAGTTATGGAGATGATGAGCAAAGAAGGAGAAGTTGGAGTAAATACTGGAAATGATTACAAGGGCAAGAAAGTTAGGGTTTGTGATTTGGTTTTGAGGGCTCTAGGGTTGGTTTTCACTCTGGTGGCTGCTGTTTTGGTTGGTGTGGATAAGCAGACGAAAGTGGTAGGTGTGCAGCTTATAGATACTTTACCACCTGTCAATGTTCCTGTTTCTGCAAAGTACCATTACTTGTCTGCTTTTGTGTAAGTTTTTGTCTCTTTTCCTTTTTCTGCCTCTTTTTTCGGCTCTCTGTAAATGAAAGTTTCAATTCAATTACTCCTTAGATTGGATTATTTGCAGATACTTTGTCGTGGTGAATGCAATAGCAACTGGGTACGCAGGGATGAGTGTTGCAGTAACAGTGGTACACAGAAAAGGAGGAGGAAGAAGCAAAGGATTAGAGAGAGTGATGAGGTTGATGGATGCTGTAATGGTGGGATTGCTGTTTTCTGCGTGTGGAGCAACCATAGCGTTGGGAGTGATGGGGTTTCGAGGGAATTCCCATCTTAATTGGCATAAAGTCTGCAACGTGTTCACCAGATTCTGTCACCAAGTTGCTGCTGCTTGTCTTTTCTCCCTCCTCGGATCTCTCACCTTCCTTCTCCTCCTTCTGCTTCCTGCCCTTAGGGCTATTTATTAATTAGTAGCATTTCCACTCTGGTTCTGTGTTTGGTGGTTGTTTTGAGCTATAAATGGATTAATGGCGAATTCAGATCTATCTTCTGTACTCAATTATGGAAGTTGGAAACATTCCAAGTCTTGGCCCTTGAGAAGGGACAATGGCAGCAATATGAATAGCCGGATCCGTATTTTTATAGGAAACGATCAGAGTCAACAAATGTGGCCATTATGAGACGCTGAGCGATAACAAAAAAACTACCAAAAAAGATAGAAATTCTAAAAATGACAACTTTCAAAGTTCCAACGTTAACGCAACATCGATCATCTCACGCTAAATAAGTAACCACAAAGAGAACATCAATTTTTGGTTCCCTGTCAGCCCTGCTGGCTGAAGAACTCTTCTGCATACCAACTAATGACAATAATATTCGGTAAAAAAAAATGACAATAATAAAATCTCGGCCGTTAAAGAACAAAATTGAACCTACATGCTCGGAGAATTACACATTGACTGTTCAGCATCTCCAACTAGCTAGGGCTGTGCAGTAATCCGCACTACCACCCGGCTTCATCAGTCTCATATCCCACTTGCTTGTATCTTGTAATAATTTCTTGAAAAAATCCTTTGAAAAGCAGTTATTTAGGTTGCTAAATTTATTAAACCTCTAATCAAGTCAAATGACCTGAAGAGATATTTTATATGAAATGACTTTAATGTCCCTTTCATTAAAAACTAAAAGAGAACTTTAAATTTACATATTTCATTTTACAATTAATATATTTCGATTCTAAATTAACAACTTCCTAACTTTATTACAATGCAGCTTTAAAAATCAAGAAGTTCAATTATATAGTTAACAAGTTTTAATTCTAAATTAATGGTTTTATATTTCTATAACATACTTGCGACGAGTCTTTAAATAAAATTTGGTCACAAGATAATATTCAATATTAACATTTTTCATTCTATTGTTAATGTATTTCAATTCTAAATTAACAAATTTTTATTTGCATAACATACTTGTAACAAGTTTTCCAATAAAACTTGATTACAATATAATCTTTAAAGTTAACATGTTTCAATTTACAGGTGACATGTTTCAATCTTAAATTAACAACTTTCTATACCTACAACATAGTTACGGTAAAACTTTATCACAATATAACCTTAAAAATTAACACTTTCAATTACATAGTTAACAAGTTTTATTTTCAATTAACAACTTTATATCTACATAATATAATTGCAATGAGTCTTTGAATAAAACTTAATCATAATACAACATTAAAAATCAATATGTTTCATTTCATAGTTAACATATTTTAATTCTAAGTTAATAACATTCTATTTTCATGATACACTTGTAATAAGAGAAGAAGATTTAATATGAAAACTAACTCATTGTTGCTTACTTGATCGATTTTATGATTTTGCAAGACGTCAAGTTTCTCTCATTCAAAATTCTTACGCAACATGGAAATTATAGATTATCTCCCTATGTTTTTAACGAAATGAGCGTTAGAGTTATTTTATAAAATTTTAAAATTCTTTTTTGGGTCACGTCACTTGATTAGGAATTTGACATTTAATAATTTTTTAATTATTAGGATTTGAGTTATTAATCTTCTTTTTTTTCTGATATTATAATTTCTTAATTTTGCTTACAACAAATTGTGGACGGAGTGGACATGTTACTTTCTCCCCGAACGAGAAAGCATCCGAAAGTGATAGACAAGAAAAGATGCATGTATAAAAATAAAAAATGTTTTCTAAAAAAGAAAACGAAAATTTTATCTAGAAAGAAGATATGATTTTCTTAAGAAAAATATTTTTTAAACCAAACATTGCCTGTTAGTTTCCTTCTTGAAAAAATAATAAAAAACCGACTAACTTTTGGTCATTTTTCCCAGTTTTTTCTTATTACTGCGTTTCTTTTTCGCTGCAGTTCCAGTCTATCAGTTGGTACTGTTTTCCCATGGGCTTCATCGCTTTCATAGGGAACAATGGCCACATGGCTCTATCCTGTTTTTATTTTCAACATTTCTCTTCTCATAAATTTATTTTTATTTTCAGATTATGAAATCGCATTTGTGCTACTTTTCCTCACCTTGAGGTTTGTCATGGAGGAGTTTCAACGAGACGCTAATAGTTTAGTTGAGTTATAAGTTTGCGTTCTCTTTGGCATTAAAACAAAATAACCAAAAAAGATTATGTCTAGTGTTTGTGGAAATTAGAAAATTGCTTTCACTTTCCTAGCATAGACAGTGCGGCCATCCTTGAAATTGAAAGAGATGATATAAAGAAGAGAAGAAAATGATGACAATATCCTTTACATGAAAATATATACTCCTCCGGTCCTTAATATAAGACACATTTAACTAATTTGATTAGATTAAAGAAGTTAGGTAAGTTAGTTAATTATAAGAAATGTGACATATTTTTCTTAAAACACTATAATCATCTTTCTTAATACCCCTTTTTCCTCTTCTACTTGATTATAATTGAAAGAGTATCCATATAAGGGTAATTTAGAGAAAATATATAAATATCAGAAATAAGTCTTATATTTAGGATCAAAATCAACTCAACAATTGAGTCATATACTAAAAACCGGAGTAGTATTTTTTAAGAAGTAAAATACATTGATATACCCTCAATTTTTGTTAAAATTTTAAAGGCCTCCCTGTGTTTTCAAAATCCATATTTTCAAAAATGCTAAAATACTCTTTATTAATTAATTAAATTTTATATTAAAAAAATTCAAATTATTAGTCAACCGTCGCAATTTCAAATAATTAAAAAGTTACTTATAGAGTCCATCTGATTGAATGCTAATTGAATTTCATGAGAGTTATAAATCAACCCTCCATCTCATGTCAGTTCAATCCACATCACTGGCAGATACAATTACTCTGTTGCAAGTTCATACGACATGAAGGATTCTTATATCAATCAAATGACTCAATCACTCCGTTCCACGGAGGAAGAATAACGCAAGAGTTCTTTCCTCTTAATGATTAACCTAAGAAGATTTTCTGGAGAACAGAACAACTCTGTGAATCTTGATGCTGCTCAATAAGAAAAATCTACAACGTAACAGGGGCATACTTTAATTTCTTGCTCACCAATATATGCCTTCTGGAAGCATAACAATGTGATCATTGAGGAAGAACAGGTGGAGCAATTTCACGAGTGTTATATGATCTGCAGTGGCCACATTTTTGCCCAACTATGTGGAAGTATACTTCAGTTGTGTCATTACAATCATTACACAGTATCCAAACCTGTGATGGAGTGAAAAAAATATAATCAAAATCTGGGAAATTTTCTGAGAAAATGGTTGTAGATATTTACAAGTGAAATGAATATATGCAACATGGTTCTCTGCGACTTCAAGTGATCTTAATGTGGCATATTCAACGATCAGATACAAAGATTGCTCTTTGTTCATATTCCTCAGAGCATGGTGTTCTTTGCTTGTCCTGCAGCCATGCTAGAGACCCAAAAAACCACATTCTATTCAAAGGCAGGTGCTTTTCATGACTAATCTTTTGGAAAGCAGATAATTTTCAACTTAAACGTGCAACTTTTAAGGTATTTTTTATTAGATTTTCTAATGAAAACAAAAGAAATGGACTTTTTCCCCCTTTACAGTTCAGTACCACATATTAGGATCTTCCAAAAGATCTTTCAAAACAAATACAGTGAGATGGAGGAAAATGGAGGGAGGCGTTTGACGAAGTGTTTGAATGAACTGAGGTTACCTTCCTGTGGCGATAATCTTCAGGCATAAGAGTTGCTTCCACCTGAGATAACATGAAAGGAAGTAAATCAGGGAGATATGTGGTACTATTCTTGATTCCTGACCAAATTAGAGTGTGCTATATATAGAAACCTGCAAATCAAGAAGTCTAAGCATATACGCGCTTTAAATCGAAAGAGATACCTCTTCGTCAATCATCTTCCAGTACATGGACATGTCAATCGCTGACTTGGAGCATATGGGGCAACAATACCTGGTTCATCATGACATCAAAACAAGTTCTTGTCTAAGCAGAGTTTAAAGTAGACCCGATAAGTTGGAAACAACCGGTGAGATTTCGAATCAGTCGGATCTGGGATTCAAGAATTTGAGTCTGAATTTAAAATAAGCAGGAAAATGGAAAATAAATTTCAGATGACTCACTTTTCCCTTTTTATCATCTCTTGGAAACATTCACAATGCATTGTGTGACCACATTTCATAACGGTAGTGTCCTTCACTGAATCAAAAAGGTACTGCATAATGAAGTCCATCAGCATATCACGTGATTGAAGAAAAACATGTTCCCCTAATTGAGGCTTGATTTACCTCAAATCTGAATTAGTTAGTAGTACTGGATACCAAATGGTTTATTACCAAAAACAAAAACGTAGTATGCGAAAAAAGGAAGTAATAAAGCACAGACCTCATAACATATCGGACAGTGATGCCTCATGGAGTCCTCTACACATAAATGATTATCAAGTAGACCAAGCGAATAGCAAGACCCTGCAACTTAGAAAACGCTTTTCACTACAAATATCGATGCCAGTGAAATAATCATTTTTGTAATAGATTATTGTACTTGTATACTGCCTTCTAAATTAATAAACTAGAAGAAGAATTAAGTGATCTATTAAAAGATGAGGAAATTCAAGTTCATAGCACATACAAGCAAACTTCATCACAAATTATAAAATGTCACGTACTAAATTTTGTATTTAGATTTGGAATTGTACTATTTGATCTTGTGCATTAAAGTCAGAATTCTGGTTGTTGCTTTCTGAGGGGTCCATAATTACTTCTAGCTTCGGCCTCACAAAATGTAGTCATAAAAATTGCAAGTTGCTAATACATACCTCACATCAGTGGGAATGTTTAAAAGTAAAAAGAACTACTGCAGAAAGAGGCCTGAATCTGCAACTAAATGTAGTGCTAAAATAAACTAGAGCACATTAACCTGCTAAAATCACAGATTCCAGACAAAAAAATTTATCTTGGGAGATATGTAGGTAACGAAGAAAAAAAAAAAGTTGATAAAACAAGGTTTACACACACTGTTCAAATACTACTATTGTAACTTCAGATCACCAAATGCACAATCAACATGTAAGTTCTATAATGGTTTTCATTTGACTCTATCAAATATTATAACTCAAGTACTTTTTAGAAGAAATTATAGCAACAGACACTACAAAAGGATGCAGAACTGAGTTTCAGTGCGTATGTAACTAAAAAGCTGCACGTTAGCCTAATGCAGACAAATGATATTTATGCCAAAGAAATCGCAAGTCACAAATGGCAGTACGGGAATGGATGCATACCGCACTTGTTGCAGTGGAAAAAGTTATCACGACCACCAATTCTGTTACCAGTTTCGTATATTACATCACCAAAATTAGTTGTAGATGAAGTCATATATATTCAGGTCACAGAAGTGAGAACGTAATGGAAGATAGAAATGTACTCAAACATACACAGCACGCACCTGCAAATTCCACAATCATCACAATGAAACTGCTGTTTCTCCGTCTGCATGTGTCAGCATCATTGTGAAAAAGTTAAGATTCACAATCACAATCCGGGTTTTCATACCATTGTCAATTCTCAGCCTAGTTCATCTCTAAGGAATAACAAAAACAAACAGAGTATATCGATCGTGTTCAAGAATCGAAGTTCAAGGACTGATTACATCATCATCGAAGAATTTGCATGTGTTGCAGAAATATTCTCCCATTTTGACGCCACAGTTTGTGCAAACTTGAGCAATCTTCAAAAGACACAGAAAGATATAAGCCAAAAGCATAGTTAAAACCTGAACATTACAAACAAGGTAATAGCATTACAATAAATAAAAGAAGTATCAAAGATTTGCGGGGGAAAATATACTGGCTGCTCTGTATCGCAAACTGAACAAACAACCTGAAATGGCAACGAGAGGCACAAAGAGCATGAGTCTTCTTATCATCTACCTGACATAGCTTACTTAATTATATTAATCAGAAAAACTAGAGATGATAAAATATAGTCAGGGGTTATCCTACTTGTTTCACGTCTTGGCGAACCATTTCGTGTCGATCAAAGGGGTTCCTCAACATGCTCTAATAGAACACATCGGAAGTAACATAAACCAATCCACATCAGTTCAAAGCACAGACGCAAATATTTTGAGCTGCAAATAAGAGAAAACGAAGGAATACCGTTGCCTCGTTATGACAATGTCGGCAGGAATACAGTTCGTTGCAGCAGGGTGCCCGAATCTTGCATCTTCTCCTGTAGTGCTTGCACCTATTGAACGGCCACATGGAAGTAAACAAAGTAATTATTATGCGATTAATGCAGTGAAAGTAAAAGACCAATCATGGTGGAAGAAGAAGTACCCGTATCCCATCTTCCCAAAACCAAGACGTTCATTGTCATAGCCTTCCATGGGTTTTGAAAGAGAGGATGGGGCACAAAGCTCTCTGCCTTCTCTCTCGGAAGAGAAGGGAAGGCAACGAATGGAATTTCCTAAAATGGAAATATTTGCAGCTCTGTCTTGGCTAGATCCTCAAAGTAGAAGCTTGTAGTCATTAATGTGCTCAAGAAGTATTATCTTCTTTAAGTTTCATCCCAATATTTTAATGCGGGGAATTCAATGATTCAATGAATGCAATAAAAGCTTGACGTGTAAATCGATTGTGAATGAATATTTTAATAAACCAACTTGCTGGGGGAGAGAGACAGAGAGAGAGGATGAGGATCATCTTTCCCCAAAAGGTGATGGTGCTGGCGTGGCAGAGACGACAAGTGACTTCAGCAGTATCACCGAACGATCAGCCAATGAGATTTCAGAGATGGGAAAATCCTTATGGGCATTTCAACAAGCAGTTGAAATGCAGAGTCATAATATCGAAGTTCCACCCTTGCGTCTGCGTGAATCCATAACCGTAGGAGTTCTACTATTTTCAAGAGTGGCACGATGATAAAGAAATTGATATTTATACTGTGTCAACTTGTGGGAGAAAATGCCACATATTACCATCACGTTATGGTGTGTCTCAGTCTTTCTAAATCGAAGTTATCAGGATTTTCAAGAAATGACGAGGATTCAAATATAAGGGAAACAAGGGGAGCATGTGCAGGAACCAGAAGATGAAAGATGACTCCTACGTAATAATATCCATCTAATATCAAGATTTTAGAAGATCCCTTTTTTAGCCCTTTTCTTCTGTTAATAATGATCTGCTAATTCATGCCACTCTGGTCCTTTTTAATTATCACTTGTAAGGAGGGATTTTGGTCTTTTTTATTTGTCACTTGTACCTTTTTTAATGCTTCATTGCTAATTTTGCTCCTATTAATTAAGGAAGACAAATGTAAAGGTGAGGAAAAAGAAAATGAGTGAGAAAAAATAGCTATCTAAAAAAAGTAAAAATAAAAGCTTTTATGTATTTAATGATCTTTTTAATATGTGAAAAACTACGACAATTAAAAAAGAACCAAAGTGGTAGGTGTATTTTTAAGACATTTATTCTTTATTTTAATTAGTATTTGTTTCCGTTTTAAACGGTTTTCTTTTGATTTTATCTCTAGTTCATTATTTTTTTTAAAAAAAAAACAGAGGGAGAGTACAACAGTTTTCCCAGCAATACTATTCACCACTTCATCAATTATTTTCTTGTTAATATCAATTCTACCCAATTGTCGCACAAAAAGTTGATTTTTAATTAATTGAATAGATAATGAAGTAAACTAACCCTAATTTTGATGCCACTATGTATCATTTTAAGTATTCAAATATTAGCCGTTAATTTTACAAATACAGTTACCGTAGTTGTGAGTTGTAACCAACCAACCAACCTGTGTAATTGCCCAAAATTATTTTTGCCATTGATAAAAATTAGTTGTTCATCGTCTCATCTCCAATCAAAACCCAAAAATAAGAGTTAAAAAAAGGCTTCTTCCCCAATATCCTCAAACCAAATTACAACCATGAATGCCAATTCTTTTGCTAAATCCATAACAACTTAAACAAATCAACAATCATTATTGTCCTCTTCATATTCTTATAAAATCCACAGAGATTTTGCACCAAAATATCCCTCACCACTTTTTCTCTTCTTCTTCATTCATCGTCTCCTTCGCTTTGTGCCTGTGTTTCCTGCAATCAATCAATTAAATCAATCAAAAATGGGTTGTGGGAAATCCAAGCACGACGTTGCTTCAGGAAATACTGTCCTCAAGCGCAAGAAATCCAGTGTCAAACGCAATATCAAGGACCAGGAAACTGGGGCACAAACGAAAGAGGACAACAACAGTAATGTTAATAATGTGAATGTAAATTCTGGGGTGGAAGTACAGAAAGATGGTGACAACGTTGTCAAAGAGGTCGTCGGAGGAAAGGTTGATGATGTTGACTCTAATGGGTTGAAAAGCAAAACTGAAAATGCAACTATGCAAGAAGAGACAGTATTACAGAAGAACAATAATGATATTGTTGCAGGTGAGAATGCCAATGTGGGAGAAGAAAAGGTGTTAGGAAAGAGTGAAGAAGTTGTTTCTGGGGGTGAAAAGGTTGAGAAAAATAATGGTGAGAAGGCAAATAAGGGAGAAGAAAAGGTGGTAGACAAGAGAGAGGAAGTTGTTGTTGTTGCTGAGGAGGTTGAGAGCAAAACTGAGAAAACAGACGTGGAAGAAGAAGTTAAGGAAGAAGAGAAAAAGGACAAGGAAGTTGATGTGGCAGAGGGGCTTGTCCCAAAGGAAGTTTCTGAGAAATCCCAAGGTGATGAGGAAGATGATGCGTTGAAGTTGAATGGGAATGATCACAAAGTGAATAATGCTCCTGTTGCGGAAGAGAAAAAGAATGGTGATGGAAATGGTATGTCAATTTTGTAGTCTGCATAATTGTGATGATCAGATTTAAATCTCTTGCATGAGAAAATCATCGGGAAAAAAAGTCAATATAGTTAAAAAGAGAGAATACATTAGATGACAAACTTAGCGGTTTTCTGAATCATCAGATTCTATTTCTGAAACATCCTTAAAGATGTCAGCCATAAGTTGTTGTCTATCAATCTTAATTTGCTCTTGCATGGTCAACAGATGATGTCAGTGTGAAGGAAGAGATTGTGGCCATGGAAGAAAACCCCACGGACGTAATAAATGTTCCAGCCTCTGAAGGTGAACAGAAGGATTTGAAAGCTGAGGAGGTACGTGGTGGGGTTCACAAAAATTGTCCTTTACCCCTTTTAGTAATCTATAGTCCAGTTTGTGAGAAAGAAAATTATATAAGAAATCATGTTATTGCTGCAGGAGAAAAAAGAAATTCATTTGAGCAACGAAGAAGCGAAGGCAGACTGATGAAGAAGCGAAGGCAGACTGAGATTAAGAGCAGATGGAGTTGACATTCATTGACTTGGTTTCTTTCGTTTGTTTTGCGTTGACCCTGCATTGTATTATTATTTCCATTGGTCCAATTTAAATTGTAATGCCCTACAAAAATGTGCAACCATTCAAGTTCTTCCTTTATGTCTTCTACTCTTATGGGGATCTGAAATGCCGTCATAGCTATTAACAAGCATAACACCGTTTAGCAGCAAATGGCAAAGCCATTAACATAGCTTCCATCACACCAACAATTCGCATGGGGAAAAAGAAAGCGATGCTACCAACTAAAGATTTGAAAGAATGATTTTCTCACCCAAAAAAAAAAAAAAGATTTGAAAGAATGAGAATAAACAAGTCAGTACCGTAACATTGCCACCACAATTGTGATATAAATATAATTAGTCATGTGAAAGTGTTCAAACCACATATTATTGCCATCATAACGAGACTTCGCTGCTAATTTGCTCCCCCACACCCCACCCCCTAAACAAAAAAAGGTAAAAATAATTTTCCTTTGCTTTGCCTTTGAATAATAGGACTTCTTCACTCAACTAGAAAATAAATGAACTTTTCCCACATCGTTTTTTTCTTTTAGGCTCATAAATCACTCTCGTGGTTTGGGTAAAATGGTAGTAATTTAATCTGTCCGTATTTTCGCTTGAAAATTTACTTATAAACAACTTTTGAGATAGAGGAGAATTTTATGAACTAAAGAATGCGTGTCTTTATAGTGGATGAAGATACACAAGATTACATAATTATGTACATAAACTCCCTCAAGTCCTAAGCCATCTTCTTTGTGGCTCATGCCTTTTGGGACCCTGCTGAAAGAATAAATCAGAAGAATGATTCCTCCACAATTGATTCATTCAACACTAATCCTCTTTCCCTGATTATCAAACTCAGAACGCAATTCTTGAAGGGGAAAAGCTGGATCTCTAGACAAGAAGATATTTCCATTTGAATCTCTGATGCTGTTGTCCGCAGCTTGAGGACCCATGACAATCCTGCATGTCCCTGGCTGTCCAGAACCCATTTGAATACCATAATATGATAAGTGATCTAGGATGCTACTCCCACTCACTGACCTGCACATGATAATATAAATTTTGAGCAGCTCTTTTCATTGAGAATACCATAATATGATAAGCTCGCAGTTCTTCCCACCCATCATAAGACCAAAATGAAAAGAAAAGCATGCTTTTGTTGGTTTTATATCATCTGTCTGATCCTACGTGGAAGAAAAACTTCTAATCAGAGACGAAACAATTTACCTGCTACAAGATGGATCCTCTCCAGATCCATCACAAATCTTCTCAATTCTGTAAACAAGACTTCCTAATCCAATGTTATGGAGCCACACCTGCAGTCCAAACTAATTTCTCAATTTCATAACCAACTGGAAGATAACTTGCAGTTTGCCCACCAAATACAATGTGGCCCCAAAATACAGATTGAGAAGACATACGAGAGCGCTTGGAGTCACAAGTCAACACCAACTACAAGTACTAACTAAAATATGTCATTACAATTAAACACAACAACGCTGGTTTCAATGTCATATCACTTGCTAACTGTTAGATAAACGCTACTTGGAGCTCTCGGGGTATATTTAGAAAAGTGGAGAAGGGAGGCAAGGCTTAGTTTAAATATTCCCCTTGTCTGGGAGCTTAAGTTGAGAGGAGGAGAATGAAGGACTATTCACCAATCCTACAAGTCTAAAACACCCTACACTTCTCATACTCCAAGTTCCTCCAGTTTGGTGATTTTGGATGAGAAACCAATCATTAGCACTATATTCATTATTTAAGATTATAATACATATCAATAAACCAAATTATTACAATTAATCATTTTAATGAAAGATTAATTTAAAAAGGCATATTATTTAAGCATCCATACAAGGGGAAGGTAAAACACCCCCTTCCCAACACTCGAAAAATGATATTAGGAACAGAAAGGGGATGGATCATGTGATTGCCAGTGTATGCCAGGGCATAGCAGGTTTATATCCTTGGACATGTTTATAGCATAAGAGAGCGCTCATATTAACAGTAATAGGTCGAGATTCTGCAACTATAAGAACACCTTTCCACAAAAAGGTGGGGGCGGGGTTTAAAAAAGAACATGAAAAAGGAATTATTAAAACACAAAGTTGACTTGGGTAGGGGGAGAGAGCATGCCTGCAATGAAAGTCAGATATGATGAATACAGAAAAATCCAGATTATAAGTTATCAATGGGTTGTGTACATGCAAGACGGATTCAAAATATACTACTAAAATTTTTGTGAATTCCCTGGAAACAAATACGGCATCTAACACAGTAGTCAATTATCTCCACAAATGTGCGGCCGCTTACTTTAATTTAAGGATATTATGACAGGATAAATATACAAATCAATGACCCAATCTTTACCTCCCTTGGGAAGTGGTGATACGTCTTCCTGGGGAAATAATAATAGTATGGAGGCAGGTGTGGAACCATATCATGGCCATTGGTGACACGGATTGTATTGGGTACGAGTTCACTATAGTAAGATGCAAAAGCAGCATTGCCAACACGAGGTTGTCCAAATGTCATAACCTGAACGTCCTGGGCATTTTGATTGACCTGTAGACATATGAAGGAAAGCAAATGACTATCCCAAGCCATAGTTTATTCTTTTGCATGATTTATAGACAAATACACGCACACAAAATATTAAAAAATAGTAATTGTTCACTGACTTGTCAGAAACGTTTATTTTTTAAGGGTATATTGTGTTTTGAAGAGTCAGGGCTGTTTATGAAGTACCTCAATGGGCATAACATAAAAATTCAGGACCAGACTTTATATCACATGGATGCGCATTACATGAAAATTCAGGACACGACTTTACATCACGTGAAAAGTTCAAATGTTTAAACAGACCAGCCTGGGTTGATTTTCAAAATTTTGTCCCTAAAAGCAAGAGTTAAATAGACTAAAATCATGAATGAAAGAGAATCAATCTGACAGTTTGATTTCTTTTTGACTAATTTGATTGATTCTATTCCGTGAATACTTATAAGCTTCAATAACTTAGTATATGGAACAAAATTTCTCTCTTCGAATTGAGTTTTACAAGTAACAACTCCACAGGAATTTAAATATCCCTGATCTCAAGCAAAATAAGCTATAAAAACCAGTCAAAAAGAATATGCCAATAAAAACTGCATTGATTGACATTCAAGAATGCCTAGATTGCAATTACCACTAAATCAAGTCCACAAAAGGATGCCATTGCTCCCCCCATTGAATGCCCCGTAACTATAATTTTAGTATCTCCATACACACTTTTTGCTCTTTCTAGAGCTTTTAAAATTGCAGGTCGCAATGTTGTATTGTGGTACGCATAATAGAATCCACGATGTACCTGAAGCAAATGATGACATATCAAAACTGGCATACTCTACTACAGAGCATAAATTAAGATTAAAAACTTAGCAGCGCGCACACACCATTGCATCAGACATGCCAGGATAATCTATATCAAGCTGCTTCCAAAATAGATCTTCAATCCAATTCTGAATGCTGTACACAAAAATATAATGTGTCCATCAACTCAGATTATAAATTAAGTTGCCCCAAAAGTAACGGAAACATTGCAACAGGATCGAACTAACTTGAATGGACACACGCTCTTAATGACAAAATCTTTTATTCCAATAAAAGATAAAATTGCTCTCTGACTCTCTTAAAGGATGAATAAATGAGAACATATGCTTTGTTAACAAGCAAACAAAACATTTTTTCAGCCTCCATACTCATGCATGGTAAAAGCTGTTCATAGGCAACTGATATTGTCAGCTGATAAAAAATTTTCTCTGAACAGCTTGAACAAAAAAAGAAATTCTTTCTCACTCCTAAAATTTCCGCCATCCATGCATAACTTGTCACTGTATCATATCTAAGCACTACAACTCAGTAGGTCAACTTTACAGTGTCTCCAAAAAAATGATGAGCCTATAACACCACAGGGAAAGAAATTTAGTCAGGAATAATATCCACCTGCTTTCCTGTGTTCCTCTGAAAGCAATGATGATGGCAGCAGGATCCTTTGCCATGCCAACAAAACCCTGAATCAGATAATCATAAGTAATTAAGAACAAAGATAGCACATATCCTTTAGAACAAATTTCAAGAGTGAAAAGGGAAATTGAAGAGAACGAACAAATTCTAGAAGTTACAGAAACATGTTAATAGTGATGAGAGTCCACCTGTAAGCAATGTTGAACATCAACAACCAACTCTATAATTTCAAATCCCTGTTCGCATCAAAAGATCTTTGGATCAAGGGATCAAATATAGAATCATTACAACAATTTAAATTAACTTGGATACTAAGTTTAACAAGTAAAGTTCACATTCATAGTGATATTTTCAACACCTTGGTCAAACCATCGCATCTGGAGCACGTCCAAGTAAAAAGTTCTGTTAAATCTGACAAGTATACCTGCAAGAAGGCAACCTACTTCAGTCCTAAAATCTACAGAATTCCTGGACAGTTTGCAGAGTTTGACCGTTGCATGCATAGATTGATTACATCAAGCAAGTAGCAAGTGATGTGACTTAAAATCAAGTTATATGTCAACCAAAGCCCAGGTTAACTTATCATGGCCCCTAGCACAGCCAGGTTTGGCAATCTCTGAATCTAGAAGCGCACGTGAGATAGTCCGTCCGTCATTAAATCATTTAATGGTGCAAAGGACAAAGGCATGCAAGATTAGCAGGATAATGAGGTGTTCTCTGCCTAATCTATTGCTCAAGGTGAACATATAATGTCTACTCGGAACTCACCGCAGAAGCATATTGCACTAATATTGTAGCAAGTGTATGGTTGTAGAGGGAATGTCGATTTACGTGTTTCGCCTTGAGTTCTGCAAATTGAAAAATGAAGTATTGTGGGAAGGAGAACAGGTTCACATATAATTCAAGTGATTATTAACAACTTCCTGAAAGGAAAAAATCACAGGCACTGTGCTCTGCTTCCATCCATAAGTCAATCGATCCTTCAAAAAATTCACGTGAATGATAAAAGACTGATGACAATTTTTGAACTGTTTCGAAATGCACCTAATCTGAGTGGTTCGTAACGTACTCCACGCCCAAAACCTAACCTTTTATGACGGACATTGGACTTTACATTTAAAAATGGATCATTTCGTTACTCGCCCAGAGTCCCCAGGAAAGGGAATCACTGTACTGGGAAGAAATTTAATACAACACCAAGTTAGGTTAATCAAGCACCGCCTACCCAACTAATCTGAATTCCAAACCAAAAGAGTAGAGTTACCCGAACGTATACACTCTAAGTAGATTATCCAAATTACATGACCACTGGGTAAAATTCTCCTTTGAAAAACCCCCATCGCTGATAGGTGGATAAATACTTCATAAGCCAAATAATTGGGGGGGAAAAAACACAGAGCAGAAAGATAGAGAGCATATATTGCAACAATGTTAGCGCACAAGCCCCACTCTTACCTCTCCCGTCCGAAAAGGCTATCAGACATAAACAAGTAGCCAACATTAACCATCTCCTCTTGCCCATGCTCTGTGCAATACGGGGGAGAAATTGATCAGCAACGCAACCAAGTCAATACCGCAATCCAAATGCTTCCGCCAATTATAGTAATTCAACAATCAAACCTACTGCTTATAAATTTAAAGAAAAAAGATGAAAGCAAGAAAAATGAGTGGACATCTCTTTTTTCCCTTTTTAGCGTGATGTACATCTCTAAAATAAACCAACATTAGGGCAAACTAGCTAGCACAGTTCAACCAAAAAAAAAAAAAGTATAAAGCAACGTGGAAAACCAACTCGAACGGTGTAACTGAACTCCGTCGACGATTAGAATCTGCCCGAGCCGTCACGGAAGGTCGTCTATGAGCACCCCGACAAAGGTAGTTAGACGTACGAAATATATAATGCTTCAGGACGAAGGAAAGTCCGTTGGCGACAATTGGGATCAGACCAGTTGGTGGACCTGACCTGAGTGAGAGAGGAAGAAGAAGAAGAAGAAATAACAAAGGACGTCACGTGCCTATCTTCTAATTACCCATAATGCCCTCGGCACTGGACGTTCCGTGGCGTGAAGAACTGTACAACCGGAGCACCGTTCTCCGCCCGCCATGCATCACGGATAAGGGCGATCGAAACACTGAGCCCAGCGTCGTGGAACCTGATAAGTATTAGTTTCAATGTATATAATTTATTAACAGAAAAATTGATGAAACAGTCTTCATTGAAAATTATTACGTTACGAGTATTAACGAAGACGTAAATCATAATAATAATACTATGTGTGTACAAAATTTACCGAATACCAATACTTTTGATATATAAAAATTTATTCGGTCCTCACATTTTTAAAAAAATAATGAAAAACTTTTGTTCACTTATCTCGTTATTTTTTAATAAAAAGCAAAATGATTTATAATTAAGAAAGAGGATAAAGATGTTGACTACACAAGGAGAAGAACAAGTTCCTATGACAAGCCCTAAAAAAAAAAAAAAACGGGGGAAAAAATTTGCTTCAAGTGAAACACATCATGCCACGGAATTTTTTAGGAAAGGAGCCAATTTGCTTAGAAACAAGCTTGTTGACTATGATGAGTTCCAGAAAATTAGAGACAGGAGATATTAGCACAACATATCTAATTTAGTACTGCACGAACACAGTGAGGAATGAACAAAGCAAAACTAACAGATTTCCTTATCCAGATGAATTGGTGTGGAATTTATGAATTAGAAATAATAGATAATGCAATTTAACTGCTTGGAACCCATTCATCTGCTCATTATTTAAGTAATTATTTGCATCAATTTATTTTAAATGATTTTATGCTGTATAAAGGAAACATGCCATAGGAATTTTATCTCCTAAACAGCAAAAATATTTATTTTGAATATTCTCAAACACATTATAAGTTAACAAAATGTTATTTCTTTAATTCTATTTATAGGACAGAAAACGAAGAAATTTGTTAGTCTTACTTATAGGGCAGAAAAAAATTTTTGTTGGTCTTATTTGTAAGAAAGAAAAAATTTTTATACAACTTTTTTCTTTGTTTATTATTATACTGACTTTGTTCTCATGTGTTATGTATATTACTTGTTGAATTTTATGAACACAGCGGATTTTTTTTTGGGCTAGAATGAACACATGGATGAGAATACACAGGGGATGTTTTATGTGGGCAAAAAACACTTTTAAAAAAAATACTTTCACATGAAGTACTCCTCTTATATACTTATTTTATATTATCTTAGATTCTAATTATAAAACCTCATTTATAGTCTATAAATAAGATCTTATAATTAGGATCGAAGGCAATACATTGTAAATCATGTATCATGGATACTTATGAGTATATTGACTATGTATTCTAAAAAGATGTTTAAATGGAATCAAAATCATGATTTTAAAAATAATTTTATAGTATACGAAATAAATATGTAGATGAGTTTATACCGGTTTACTGAGATCCCCAAACACTCTCTAAAGTCTCAACACTAGCACGTCCCCATTGTCACTGTTTGCGAAGGAATGCTTTTTTTTTTTTTTTTGGGTTAAGTGCAAGGGAATGCTTTTGCTGTTACTTTCTTTCTCCCGGAAGGAAGGAGAGCCGTTACTTCCGTTAGCCTGTTCCCGTTAGTCTCCATTTTTCATTTTTAAACGAAGCAGCGTGACCTGACAAATAATTAACTTTGACTAAATGTACGTCTCTAACAAGTAATTTTGACAATTAATTTCGTGCAATAATTTGATTTTTCCTCGATTAAAATGACAATACCAAATTTGAAAGGGCCACGCAAGTCTCAAAACTCAACCCTTACGCTCAAACGGGAATCAAACACAAGCTTCTTTGACCTGATTCTAATAGAAAATTGTTTATATATATACACATATTTATAAACTAAACTTGCTTTCCACAACTCACAAGCACCCATACGTCCGCTAAATCACAAAGCTCATCTAATCTAATTTTTTTATAAGCTCTGATTAACTACTTTACATAAATAAGAATTTAGTTAAAATAGTGTTTTTTGTAAAACTGTATAATGATTATGAATTTGTTTTTAGCAATTTTTTTTTTGGTTACAGAAGAAGGCAAGAAAGCCCAAAACGAAGAAAATTAAATAGGTGGGGATCTAGCTCCCAAACACTCTTCAGCAACTAAACTCCTCAGATGAGAAGGACAAGTAGTCAAAAAGGTGGTTCTGGACAAACCATCCTTTGCAAGAGAATCTGCAACACGGTTTTGCTGTCTAGATATATGTAGGATTTCGACCTCCCACTGGTACTTTAGCATCTTCATAATCTGGATGATCACAAGGCTACAGATGGTCCTGTTCCTCTTTCCACTAATCTCGTCTACCACAATTTTTGAATCAGATTCAAGAATTATTTTCTTAAACCCCATTCCCCAAGCCAAATTAAGACCTTTATACACAGCCCATTCCTCTGATTCAAGCGCACTGCACGTACCAAGAGCTTGTGAGAAGCCGGCAATCCAATTCCCATGATTATCCCTTATCACTCCTCCACAACTTGCTCTGCTAGATGACGCTGACATTGCCCCATCTACATTAACTTTTATCCACTCTGCAGGAGGTGTCTGCCATTTAAGAGAGCTACTAGACATTGGTTGACTCCCCACAGTAGGTTTGTCATGTATCTGTACGTATAACTTCCAAGAATGCAAAATAAATAACGCTGGATTTGCTGGTTTCACAAAATCATCCACATGAATAGCATTATTCCGCCATAGCCATAGTTTCCAGCAACCAACTCCCCATATAAGGTTCCATCCTGAATACGAATGTCTTCCTAGTTCTTTTTTAAGGTTCAAGTTCATCCAGTCTCTCAAAGGTGCAGCAAAGAAAGCATTCTGAAATTTGGGATCCACTAGATGTAACCACATCTGTGTAGCATACTGACAATCACGAAGCACATGTAAGGTATCCTCAACCTCTAAATTACAATATTGACATAGAGGGGAATTGGCAGACCACTTACTTCGCCAAGCATTAGTGGGTAATCTATTATTATAGACTAACCACAAAAAGACTCTTATTCTTTCAACTCCTTGCCATCTCCAAATCAGATTATAAGTAGAGCTATATAAATTAGGAGGATTCCTCTCAATCAAATAATAAGCACTTTTAACAGTAAAGTTACCATGGTTAGTACCATTCCACATCATCACATCATTTCCAGCACTGGGTAAGGGTGGCAGTTTAGCTATTAGACGTTGAATGACTTCACCTAAAACAACTGAACCAAGTCTCGTAAAATCCCATGTCCCATGAGCAACCCACTCTGCTACATTCGAGTCATTCTCCTCCTCTGATAAAGGTCTGATGCATAACTCTTTAATATTCTTGTCTGGAAAGAGCCATTTATCATTGAAGAAGTTGACAAAAATTCCATTTCTGACTTGCCACTGTGTACCTTCCTCAATAAACAATTTTTGCTGACAAACAAATTTCCACAGCTTTGAGTCACCTGGCTGTACCATTAACAAATCAGACTCACTTCTACTCATATACTTATGCTGCAAAACCTCAGCCCATAATCCATGTGAACCCGAGATTAAGTTCCAGCCCAGCTTACATCCAAAGGCACAGTTAACTGAAGAGAGTTTTCTAAATCCAAGGCCACCATATGCTTTAGGTAGAGATAGTTGCTTCCAACCAATAGGGTGCCAACCATGGTTTTCATTGGTATTACCCCAAATAAAATTCCGTTGTAGTCTTTCAACCTCAGTGCAGATACTCTTAGGGATTTGAGCTACTTGCATAGGATACAAAGGCACAGTACTAATTACCGACTTTGCTAGAGTTATCCGGCCTGCCATAGAAAGACTTCTAGCTTTCCAAGCAGCAAGCTTTGATTTAACTCTGTCTAAAATATATTGGAATGTCTCCTTAGTTTTCCTTTTCCTGGATAGAGGGAAGCCAAGGTAGACTCCAATTTCATCAGTAATTTTCATCATAGTCCGACTCTGAATGTTTTCCTTCACCGAATTTTCTACCTTAGGGGAAAAAAAGATAGAAGACTTTTCAGTGCTCACTTTCTCCCCTGAAACCTTACAAAAGAGCTGAAGGCAATTCATCATAGAATTAGCTTGTTCCTCCGTAGCTTCTCCAAATAACAAAAGGTCATCCGCAAACATTAAATGGGACACTGCAGGTCCATTTTTACTAACATAAATGGGCTTCCACCGACCAGCTTTCGCTTCATCACTAATTATATGAGAGAGTCTGTCCATACAAATCACAAACAATAAAGGAGATATAGGATCCCCTTGACGCAAACCACTTGAGGGAGTAAAATATTCAGTAAGATTACCATTACAAGTTGTATTTTACCGAGGAGACACAATTCATAATGAGATGAATGAAATCAGAATCTAGTCCTACATCCTTTAGCACTTGCTGCAAAAAATCCCACCGTAATCAGTCATAAGCCTTTTCAAGATCAATCTTCCATGCCATGAAGCCTCTTCTGCCCTTAGATTTCTTCATAGTGTGCAGGATTTCTTGCCCCACTATTATGTTGTCTTGTATATGGCGCCCTTTAATAAAGCTGGCTTGAAAAGGGGAGATCAATTCATCCATTATACCTTTCAATCTTCCTGTAATCACCTTTGTAATACATTTATAATGCACTGAGCAGAGAGAGATGGGTCTGAAATGAGAGACAAATTCCGGATTATCTCTTTTAGGAATCAGAGTTATCAAAGTTTTATTTGCCTCAGTCATAGACAGACTGCCATTGAAGACACCTTGCACAAACTCACATACATCCTTGCCCACTATATCCCAGTTGGACTGAAAAAATATAGGAGAGAACCCATCTGCACTAGGCGCCTTATAAGGACCCATGGAGAAGATAGCCTGTTTAATTTCCTCATGAGAAGGAACCATTCCTAACTTGCTTAACACTGACATCTCAATCATCGAATAAGAAGACTCCAACTGTAAATCAATAGGATAGCTATCTTCATTCTAGTATAAGGATTTGAAAAAATGCACAACCAGATTTTTAAGCTCTGCCTCATCTTCAACCCATTTAC